AAAAAAAAAAAAAAAAAAAAAAAACTGCATGTACAGAGACTATAATTTAAGAAACTATGTATAAATAAGTAAGAGCAAAAATGAAGACAACTGATAATATTTAAGTGAGGAAACTGGGTAAATTTTCTCTTTTTTAATTATATTCTATATGGCTATGGTATATTTGTATATTTAGTATACAAAAGAAAAAAATTACAGAAATAGAATATAAGGCTTTTATATTTAGGCATTAACTTAGCTTATAAGAAGCTTACTTGTCTTACTTTTAAGTTAGATTCTCATACACAATTTTATTTTTTTACTAAAATAAGTATTAGCTACCTTTCAATGTCACATAAAAGCAAGATTCATCTTATATAATAGGATAAATAGTTCACGGATCAGATAAACAAAAATCTCACACTTTCCTTTAATATTTACTCAAATTAAGTTAAATATCATTACTCTAAAGAAAGCAATACATTAAACTACAACTTTGCTTTCAGAACCAGGTGAGCCATCCCTTCCCTGACTCTAATGCAATACAAGTTGAAAAATCACTATTATAACTCAATTCAAGACTTAAAGCTATTTACCTAGAGCCAGAATTAGACTTTAAATATAGTTCTGAACCTCAAAGTTGTTCACATTTCTAACATTTCACAGTTCAACAAAACAATGGGAAAACTTGGTTTTGAAATATTCAGTAAATCACTAGCATATCTAAGCCAGTTTCCTCATTGAAAACAAAACTGCACTGCATATAAGATCACCATGATCCTTTCCAGCTTTCAAAACACTATGATTAGGAAATCCTACATATACATATAGTATATATGTACATATATACATATATATTTAAATGTGTGTATATAATATCCATTTACATATTTATATCCATATATCTATTATATACCATATGTAACCACATATCTCTGTGTGTCTGTATTTTCATTAAGAAATTTGTACATAATTGAGTAATAGTGATCATCTAACAGTTCTTATTTCCTGTCTCTTTCTTCCTTTCTTGGTTTCACCTTTAAACAGTTAAGAATTTTCTTTACCCACAAATAACCATATAAATTAAGATGAGTTTTTATTTATTATCTGGTTTAACAAATACTAAAATTAGAGTAAAAGATAAAAAAGCATAAATGCACAAGGATAAAGAGACCAGAGGAGAAAACAACATGAACAGTAGACAAGACATGTCAACAAATTTTTAGCAAATGAAAAACAGATGCAGGATTTAGAGCTAAGAAAGCTGAACACCAAGCAACTGCAGAGAATTCCAACAGGAGAAAAGCCAATTCACACAGCAAAAATCAGGATCAGGAATTCGAGACACCAGATACCATAGCAGGCACAATGAGGCACAGAACTAAAAAACAAGGGAATTGTTTGAAAGCCTGTAAAAAAAAGTAATCTCCCAGGTCCCCTCTGCCATCCAACCCAGATAAGTTACTACTATTCCCCAATCCCAGCAGAAGAGGTGGTTTATTTTGGAAAAATGATGAAACAGTGAAGCACCAGGTCCAGGGGCACAGTAAAAGAGGGCAGAGAGATGCTCAACTAAAAGTTAAAGGGATTAAGTGAAAGTCTACAATCTAACAGTAAATAGTGTAGCCTTGTGTGTGCTTGGATCCAAGAATTCAGAAAGAGGATTCTTTTCTCCAAAAACTAAACAGTACCTGGAAGAAGATATATAAGTATTATGCAAATATTATAACCAAGCCCAAACCTTGAACACAGTAAACTTTTTCTTTTCTTTTTTTTTTTTTTTTTTTTTTTTTTCTGGCCGCGCCATGCAGCTTGTGGGATCTTAGTTCCCTGACTGGGGATTGAACCCAGGCACCTGGCAGTGAGAACAAGAAGTCCTAACCACTGGACCACCAGGGAATTCCCGACAGTAAACTTTTTTCTACAAACTTTTTTTGTTAACTTTTTAGTAATTATACAACAAAGGAAAATCAATCATGTGATGAAAGACTTCATCATGAGAGACAGAAGCCAAACAGAAAAAAAAAAAAAAAAGCAACTCATAGTAAACCAGGAACATGCCAGAAAATTTTTTAAAACTCAGTTAATATCCTCAGAAATATATGAGAAGATGATCCAGCAAACAGGAATAGGAGGAACATCCATAAACAGGAGAGAAAGCTTAAAATTTAAACAAATGATAATTTCTAAGAAATTCAATAGGCTTAGAAGATACTATCAAAGCACTCATGAAAAGTAAAAAAATAAAAAGATAAAAAACAAGGTAAAAGAGGATCAATCCAGGAAGTCCAATATCCAATTGATACACATTCCAGAAAGAAACAAAGCAAGAAAAGAGACAAAGAAAAATATCCAAAGAATAATTTTTAAAATTTTCAGAATTGAAAGATATGAATTGCCCTAAATCCCTGGGACAATGAATTTAAAGACTTATACCAGACATACCTCATAAAACTTTAGAAATGAGGAATACAAAGAAGATCCTAAACTTCTAAAGATAAAAAAATGGGGAATCACAATAAAAGGCACAGGGCTTCTCAGCAGCAACACAGAAAACCATGGTGACTTGCCTTCAAAATTCTAAGTGAAATTTTCAAACTACAATCTATATTCAGCCCAATCATAGATCTAATACGAGATCAAAATAAAGACATTTTCTGATATGCAAAGGCTCAAAATTACCCCTCACACTCACCCTTTTTTAGGAAGGTACTGAAGGATGTGCTCTACCAAAAGGAGAGAGTGAACAAAGATGACCCAGATTCAGAAAACAAGTGGTCTAACACTTGAGATAGGTTAAAAAGTTCCAGGATGACAGCAGGCCCAGGTACAAGGGATACATCAACGAACAAGAGAGAAAAATC